TTCTTGTGTTACTTGTAATTTAAGTCTCATCCTTTTTCTGCTACTGTTCTAAAGTGCTTAAAAAAATCTTATTTGTCTAGTTTTTTTCTTTGAACATTAGTTCTTCGGAATTCGCTTCCTTCATATTGCTTTCCTGATTCTTATAATTTGCAATCTTTTAAGTTGTCTGTCAAACATTATCTAGCTCTACAATCTTTATCTTTTCTCTTTCAGTAACTTCCAACACTAACTAGTGGTTGCTTGCAGCCGTGTTGGAAGCAAAGATGTTTAAAATAATAAAAAAAAAAAAATTGTGTACACGTTTTAATAATAATAAATTAATTTTTTTTACATTCAAATAATAATAAATTAATTTTTTTTGTAGTATGTTAAACATTAAATTAATTTTTTTTCCAAATAAAACAATGTTGTTATCAATATTGAGTATACTCTTTTACTCATTTAAATATATTTTATGTAGGTTCAAGTATAGAAATAAATCTCCACACTGTTCAGAAAACTGAATATAAATAGTTTAGAAAGAACAATAGGTATAAGTTGAGAAAATTCAGATGTAAACATGTATTAGAAAATCTTACCTAACCAAAACAGTTGAACGGTGAAAAGGTTTTATTCCAAATTGAAACTTTATTAGATTAAATTTATATGTGAAGAAAAGTATACTCAATATCAAGAGTGACTTGGTAGTTTTAATGAGAGATAAGTTTCATTTAGTATTAGTTTTTATATACTGCTCTACAAGAGGAAGAAGAATTGAATCTACAAGGAATCTAAAAGAAGAAGAAGAAAAAACATGCGATCTTTATTGGATTATGTACCATATCGCTTATAATTAATACTTAACTTAACGCTGCTGCTGCTGTTCACCATTCGTGCGCATTTTTACACGGAGTTTTATGAGCATGCTTGGTCTTTTAGATATTTCTCTTTTTGTTTATTTCTATTTTTGACCACACAATGAGGTACTCTTGAATCTTAATATCTGTTTAATCAGTAATAAGATCAAAAACTTTGCTTCATCAACTTAATTAGTAATATGATGGACATATTTTAATTTTTTAATTAAAAGACGATGAAGACTCTAAAAGGTCAAACTCTTGATAAAGTTAGTGTTGTATGTCATTAAAAAAAATGTCATTAAACGAAAATAAGGTTGTATTTGTAAAGTTTCTAAATTATATATTTTTCTTGATTTTCATATTTTTATTATATTATTTATTTATATTTATGTGTTATTTATGTTATTTATGTTTATGTGTTAAGGTTACATGGGTTTATATTTTGTAAGTGTGTAAATATCATTTATGTGTTTGTAAATATATTTTAAAACTGTTTTGACTTGGCTTAGTTTACAGCAAGAGTGTTGATTTTGCTAGCCAAATGGTGTACTTCACTATAATGTGACTTGGCTTTGTTGGGAGCAAGATTGTTTTCCACGCCAGTTAAGTGGTACCACAATCAATCAATCTTGCTTCCAACAAAGCCAAGTCACATTATAGCGAAGTACACCACTTGGTTAGCAAAATCAACACTTTTGCTGATAAATGAAGTATAAATCTGTTAAATTAATGAAGTATAAATCTGTTCAATAAAAGTTACTTAAAATTATAAATATTAAAAAAATTATAGATATTACAAAACTATATATCTATCAACACTTCTTACAAACACATTCTTTTAACAATTTTTTTTAACACTTTTTATGACTACACTAACTACAAACAGATTTAATTTATGTATTTCATCATAACAGTACACCATGATGATGAAATAATCTTTCAATATCTGTTTCATCAGTACATAAATTAGTTTAGTCACACAAAGTTAGTTTAGTCACAAAAAGTTTTATGACTAAAATAGTTTTATGCATTAAGTATCGATTGCACAAACAACAGGTTTAAAAATTTATTTGCCATATTCTGCAGTAAAAACAGCTTAATTGTATGATTTTGTAAATAGTTTTTTTTACAGAAAAGCTTCAAACAGATAAAGCTAACTTGTTTGAAATAACTAGGTCTCTTAGGCTCATTTTTCAATGTCCAAATTTGCTTTTTAAATAAATCCTTATAAGAGAATTAAAAATCATAGCTGAAGAAATATTACGCAACTGTCTTAAGTTATTTCTGCTAAAGATATTTTTATTGTGTAGAAAATACTTAATAATAAAATAATTAAGTAATGTAATAAGTTAAAATACTAAATAGTTCTAAAGTATAGTAAATTGAAAATTAACCTGAAGGCAAGAACTTTAGGTAATCATTAAAATGCAAACTGCCTGCTTTTTAGCAAACTGAGACAATTTAATGAGCACAACAGTCAGGATATTTAAAATATTTGTTCATCAATTTTTTCAATTAAATATAATGGTATTCGGTATATTTTATTTGAATTAGACTGTTTTCTTTTAAGTTACTTGAAATTTATGATATATAGATTATGATTAATGGTTTGCCAAAAAGTTCGCATTTTACCAACTACTAGAACTTTAAATTGATTTATTTTATTTTTATGATTTATTTTTATGATTTATTTATTTACTTAAATAAATTAAAGGATTAAGACTAAATTTTGTTGTTTTTTAAAATTTGTTTAAATTATTTTAAATTTGATTAAAATTTTTTTTTGTAATAAGCATCAAAAATGCCTAAATGGGCCTAGGCCCCTTTGTGACTGTTAACATGTTTGCCTCGTTTGTGACTATTAACATTTTTTTCTAATTTTATAAACACACTTTTCTATTATTACAACACAAATACTTTTTTTTACAACTACATTTATAATACTTAAAAGAGCTTTGAACCTTTGTAATGCTGTAAGACACCTGTATTTTATTATATTCTATAGTTTAGCTATTTTTACAAAAATTGATAAATTCTTTTACTTTGCTATATTTTCATTTAAAATTAGTTGAAATATATTTATGAAACTCAAATAATGAAATAGTTCCATCTAACAATAAACAACTATGCTAAATATATCGCTACCGTAGATTACAATATTATCGCCAGAACGTAGAAAAACCTTTTAGAAAGCAGGTTATAAGACAATCTTAAAATTTAGTGCAAATCATAAATTTTTGCTAATCTTGTAAAACAAAACAAAACAACCATCAAATAGCATCTTGGTTTAAACCTATTGGAATGCAAGTATAAACAAATATACACTGGTGAAACAAAAATGAAAATAGCAAAAAGAACAACACCAAAAAAACAACACCAAAAAAATGTGTTAGAAGAAAATTGGGGCCAATCTGCTATTGAGGAACATGAAAACAAATGTTCGTGCAATGTATAATTGGAGCAAGTAAAATCTTTGATGAAATATTTGATTGAAAAGTTCAAGAATCAGTTGAAATTCAGTATAACAAATGCGAACCTAAAAACAGAGGTATGCAAAATAAATATATATATATATATATATATATATATATATATATATATATATATATATATATATATATATATATATATATATATATATATATATATATATATATATGTATATATGAATATTCAACAATAATGGCAGTAAGAATATGGCTAATAGATTAACATATATAGATTAACAGAGTTAACATAGAGATTAGTATTAGACAGCATCTATTTACAGCAATTTCTTGCAATAATAAAATGGTCTTTTTTCTTAAGAGAACTGTTGTTTTGATAAAGATGAAAAAAATGACTACAACTAGATATAGCAGCTGCACAAGAAGGTGAAAACCAGGGAGGAGAATAAGGATTGAGTTAAAATCGACAAGAGTTATTCATAATATAAATTACTCATTTATTTTATCAAATTATGTTAGTATTTATAATCGATTATGAATATTAACATATTTTAGATATTTGACAAAAAGAATAATTATAAAACATTAGGAAATATTCGATTATTATTTAATACTTGGTATGTTGTCTTTATGCTTTCAAACAGTCAGCTAACTGGTTAGGAATAGAATGAATAAGCTTTGTTAAATATTCAGGAATCATAAACTGAATCATAAATGATTGTTTTTTAAAACTTCTATTAAGTCAATCATCTAGTGAAAGAATACAACAAATTTTTTCTAATATTGATCCTGTAATAACTTACAAACAACCACCAAATTTACTGAAACAACTTACTTCTGCTAAATTTTATTTAACAATAAATTTATAGGAATTTTTAAATGTAATGATAGTCATTTCAAAATTTGTCTAATTTACCTGCAGGAGGTGAAAAATTTTGTAACATCCAATGGTACTATCAAAAACATTAAAAGTCGTGTTACTTGTAACAGCAAGAATGTGATTTATTATTTAAATTATTTATCATGAAATGGTCAATCAACATAAACTGGAAAAACAAATAATTTGAGAAATGGTACAAATGGTCATATATCAGGTTGCAGAACCAGTCATTTAACTGACAGATTTGACAAACTTATGTGTTTGGTTGCCAACATAAAAATAATAAAATAAATAAACCATTTCCAGCTTTTTGTTTTTCTAGAACTTAAAAGTGATAAAAATTTATTGTCAAATGACAGTTATTTGCATAAACAAAAGCATGATACTTTTAACTAACACTTCCTGTTTTAAAAACCATTAGTCAATGATAACTAATAGCAACAATATTTTAAAATTGTATATATACATATATATATATATATATATATATATATATATATATATATATATATATATATATATATATATATATATATTTATATATATATATACATATATATACATATATATATATATATATATATATATATATATATATATATATATATATATATATATATATATATATATATATATATATATATATATATATATATATATATATGTATATATATATATATATATATATATATATATATATATATATATGATATATATATATATATATATATATATATATATATATATATATATATATATATATATATATATGTAAATTATTAATTATCTTATTTTTTTTAGTAAAAAAATTAACAACAAATATAACAATCTTACTAATCTGGCATTTATCTCCTGTCCATCCATCTGCACAATCACATCGAAATCCACCAACTGTATTTACACATTTACGATCAATTGAACAGTTGTGTGTTAATTGCGTGCACTCATCAATATCTTCAATAAAGGTTAAATAAATAAAAACATAAATATGTGTATAGTTTTGTAGCTCAAATTTACGGTATTTATATATAATAAAATATATGCATATACATTATTTATAGGTAAAAATATATAAGTATTTATATATTAAATGTGTTTATATTTTAAATACAGGTATACATGTATGTATCAGAGATTGTCTAAGGTCATATTTAAAAAAATTAGGAACACAGGCTTGGACAGGAATGGCGTGCGATCGCACTCTGTAACTGACCACGCTAATATTTTTATTTCTTTACAACTTGACCACGGCTATTTTGATGTTTTAACAATTTGAATGCAATAAAAAAAGTGTTACGCTATAAATATCTTTTAGCCATTGATCTTTTCTAAAGTTTTTTATTTTACGCAATGGCTTTAAATAAAACCATAAAATTAGTTATAGTTATAGTTTACATAAAAGCTTGTGTAAATTAATAAAAAACATTATAAATAAGTTTTTTTATGTAGGCATTTATTTTTTATGATAAATGTAAACGTTTGAAACTATTTCTTCCTAAAACGTTTGAAACTATGTCTTCCTAAAACATTTTTAAGTCATTACTTTTAGAAAGAATTTTTATAAGTTACTTTAATTTGTGAACAAGTTCAAAAGCTTTTGTGACTACTAACTTTTACACATTTTGTGTGAATTAAACAAGAATATAAAATAACTTCATTTACTTATATGAGCATGTATTTTGTTGATTTAATGAAAAAGTTTTAAAGCATTTTGTATTGTTCATACAATTAATTTTTATGACTAAACTTACGATTTTTGAAAATGTTTTAAATAAACATTTTATTTTTTGTAAACAATTTTTTTTTTTTTCAATTTTGTTAGAAATGAATGAGATAAAATTTTTCAAATAATTTCTAAATTCGTTACGCGAAGCGCTCATTAAGTTGTAATGCTCAAATTAAAATAAAATTAAAAAGCTTGTTTGCAGTTTATTTTATTTAAATCGCAGGCGCATTTTATTTATTTCTTTTTTTTCTTTTTTTACAAATAACAAAGTTCAAAACCTTTTTTTTAATTAGACTCACTAATTAGAGCATGAAATTAGTAAAAATTACTATTTTAAAAAGACTACATTATTTTTTTAAGCAATTTTTTTTTTGCAACTTTTTTGACAAAATAAATGTTTATACAATTTAAAAATATTATACAAAACACTTTTTAATAAATTTAATAAAATTTGTTCTTTTATTAAACCAATCAACTTTAATAACGCTTAAAAAGATAAGCTTTAATAACGTTTATTTCATACTTAATTAAAAATGTAACAAAAAGTTTTGCATTGTGGTCAAGTTGTCAAAAAATAAAATCATTTGCGTGGTCAGCAATAGCGCTCGATCGCACGCCATTCCTGTCCAAGCCTGGGAACACATTTTGAAGGAAAAAGATCTGGAAAAAAATCAGAATTTATTGCCCTCATATTTGTCATAACTTAATTTTAAACTAATGGTTTTCTCTTTTTTTTTTTAAACTTTATATACATCTATATACATGTATGTATAAGTATCATACCTAAAGGCAATCATCAGCCATGTAACGAGAAACAAAAAAACATAAAAATATTTATGTGCTAATATTTTAACGGTTGAGTTTTTTTTTTAAATGAGTGTACTCCGCCGTTTTGTTCTAATACATTTTCCAAATATATATATATATATATATATATATATATATATATATATATATATATATATATATATATATATATATATATATATATATATATATATATATATATATATATATATAGGGGAGAACCTTAATGAATGGGACAATTATTGAATGGGATAAAATCAAATTTGCATAGAAGCATCTACGGTTGGCTATCCAAACTCCTGTGGTAATAAGTGTTTGACACAACCATTCAACAGACCAAATCTTTATTTTTATTATGGTCTAAATGTAATGGCATTGGATGTTATTGTGTTTTGAAGAACAATAAGTAATTTTTAAAAACAATTTTCTGTGTCTGATTTTGCAGCGATTACTAAAGTTAAGGAAAATGAAACTCCAATTTTCAACACCGAAATGTCTCTACTTTTTAAATTTGTAAAGTATTTTTGTTTAGGTATTACTGTTTTTAACCTGTCCTGTCATTTGTGGATATAGTGGGAAGCCTATTGAATGGGGCAAAGTATTGATTATTGAATGGGACTTGTCCAAACAGCCTGATATGAAAAAAGTAGAAAAATATATTTCGGCAACTTAGTTATGGTCACACATAATTTTATTTTTAATAAAATTTTTTGTTTTACTAAAAACAATTATTCGTGCTTTTAATTTAGTTTTAATATACATATATTTTTTAATAAAACTATTTTAGGTTTGTCAATATATGCAGACATTCGGCCATATTTATAGCTTTTTCGGGTTCCCTAATGGTAGAAACTACCCTTACTGCTTGACTGGCTTGAAAGTTACTTAGGACCTCTCTTCTTTTATTAATTTTTTAGATTTGTCCCATTCAATAATTTTATTTGTCCCATTCAATGAGTAGTTCTTAATGAATGACAAATGCCATGGTCTTATTAAACTCTTTTTTTACCAATACCCATATGCGGAATCAATTTTTTTGTTTTTGTTTATCATAGTACGAGAGTTAACAGTTATCAAACTATTTTCAAAGTGATTTTTAAACAAATTTATCTACCTCAAAAAATGCATTTTACGAAAACTGTCCCATTCATTAAGGTTCTCCCCTATATATATATACAGACATACAGGCCTTATATAATTTAGGCCTTGCAAAAATACAACTTTTTTTCTCAAAAATATAATATTCCTTGTAACTAAAATAAAAAACCCTAAGTCATTTTTATAAAAAATATAATTAATTGGTTAATAAACTGCAATGCTTTTTAAAATGCACAACTTTTGCAAAAAAAAATTTTATGTGTAAAGAATTTCTTCAAGGCCCATTAAATGACGTTTATTATGTATAAATTATTGCAATTAGAAACTGAATCCACACATAATGATTTCATATCATATGCAACAAAATTATTTTAGAGCTGAATCACCAGCTGAACAAACATACTTTAGCACTCTACTCAAAGATCAAAATGAAGCAAACAATAAACTTGAAAAAATTGGCAAACTTAACTCATTTTTTTGTTATGTCATTGGCAGATAATGGGTCTGATGCATTGATGTCACCAAGACCCTTTTCATTAATGGCCACGTAAACACTCCTTTGCCAATAAAGAAGCAAAGCAAACACTCAAAACTGCATCAGCAAAAGCCTCCACTTCAAACACTAACATTTAATTGTATCCAAGCCAATTTAATTGTATCCAAGCCAATAGCAATTACAGCCTTAACTAAGTAATAACAATTCCAAAACCTAAAACAAAATCAAACTCTCTGAACTACAATTACGCGTTGAAATTAAAAAGCCATATTTGTAACTGAAACATGGTTTTGTGATGATTCCATTTGCAATCTCAACGGATATCATCTATATAATTCAAATAGAAAATCTAAGTATGTTGGAGGTGGATTAGCAATCTAAAACTAAAAAGCTTATTTTAAAAGTGTCATTAAAGTGTCATTAAAGTGTCACTAAAAAGCTTATTTTATCTCAAATTGAAAACATATCTCTTAATAATACCTAAAAACTGTGCTACAAAACTGCAACCTTATTTTTCCAAATTCTGCAACTGATAATGAAATACTAAAATCAATTACAGCCGCAAACACTGCAGTTAAAAATAAAAAGTATCAATGTCTTCTCATTGCTGGAGATTTCAATTTCCCTTATGTAAAATGGTTTAAATGGTAGCAAAACTAGCCAGGGTAAAAAATTTACTGACATGCTTCATGATAAAGCACTTTCACAAGCAATTACTTTTCCAACTTTTCTAAATGCTAATACCTCATTTAATAACATTTTAGATTATATAATATCCCAATCTTTTGAGAGAATCAGTGATGTAGCCAACTCTGCTCCACTTGGCTCAACAAAGCAAGGACACACAGTTATCACTTGGAATTATAACTTAGATTATACAATATATCCAGTCATAAACATAACTATGATTGAGGTAAATATACTTGGCTATGTGTGAATTGATCAAAACTGTTGATTAGAAAGATATATTTTCCAATAAGTCTATCAACCAATGCTAATCAACATTCTTAGACCAACATAAAAAATTATGTGATTTCTTTTTAAGTAAAAAATCCTACCCAATCAATGAACAAAGACCTCCATGGATAAGCAACCGTATTCTCTGCCAAATTTAATATAAAAACAAACTCTGGCATCATTATATATCATTAGGTAGAAAATGCTAATCGCTTTTCAGAGAATATACCACTACAAAGAGAGCCTTTGAAATACAAAGATATGTATTGAACATTTAAACATTCACTTGCTACCAACAATAAGAATCCAAAACGCCTGTATGCATACTTTAACAGAAAAAAACTGTATGCATACTTTAACAGAAAAAATCAAAAATAACATCTCAACAGTAATATGTCAACGCACCATAAAAAGTGCTGTAATTAATCATCTATATGCAAATAAATTAATACATCCAAGTTAACACAATTTTGTTAAAAACAAAGCTTGTTTAACAAACCTTCTAAAAACATTTAGTTTTGAAACTGAATCAGTTGCAAACAACATGCTGTCAATATAATCTTCCTAGACTTTGAAAAAGCTTTTGAAAAAATCCTTCACAAAAGACTTTTATATAAAGAATTCAAAAATGGAATTCAAGGTAAAAATCACAAATGTTTAAACTCCCTTCTGTCTAACCAAATACAATGTGTTGTTCTTGGTAAATTGATTTTAGAATGGGCTGATTTTGTAAATAGTGTTCCATAAGGCTCAGTTCTTGGTCTATTATTGTTTGTTATTATATCAATGACACTCCTGACAATCTCTCTGTCCTATCTAAATTCTTATGAGGCACTCTATCAAATGCTTTTTGAAAATTGGCATATAAAATGTCTACTGAATTGCCTATCATTAGTTGGAATGTTATAAAATCTAAGGATTCTAATAAATTTGTTATACCCTTTAAGAAGCTCATTGATGTCTAGGCTGATAATACCTAGATGTCTCTAACTGGAATGACCTTCCCCAGCAGAAAATGAATGCCAAAGTCATCGTTCAAGATATTGCTTGACAAAATATATATATATATATATATATATATATATATATATATATATATACATGTGTATATATATATATATATATATATATATATATATATATATATATATATATATACATGTGTATATATATATATATATATATATATATATATATATATATATATATATATATATATATATATATATATATATATATACATATCAACCCTCGGAATAAGGAAAAATGAGGTCAGCAAATTATTGCCAACCATAAGGTCTGATCATAAAACATAGAAACAAGGTCAGCAAAATTTTGTTGACCTCAAACACTTTCAGGTCGGCAGTTAGGTTGGAAATGCGGAACGCCGACCCTAATTCCAAGAGTTGATATATAGATAAATATATTTATGTTTTTTTCATTTTTTATATAGCTTAGTATATGTTAAAAATATTTTTAAGTAAAACTATTAATAAATAAAATATAAAATTTTTAATTATTATACTGATTAATCTGTAAAAATTAGCAAATAAAACTAATTTAAAAAAAATGTTGTTTTGTATACAATAACTTTTTTTTTTAATTGAAACTTTAAATTTTTTTTTTTTTAATTGTTGGTTTTTCACAAGCAAGAGCAGTGTGATATAAAATTTAAAAAAAACAGCATCACTTTTAAAACAACTTAAAATGGATACATAATTTATTTGCATATCATATTTATATACATTTTAAAATTTGTAAAAAAAATATTAACAAAGATCAATAATAACAATTGAAAATCTTGGATCTTCTATAAAATACATACGATCTGAGGGGAAGAGAGGGTCGCCAAATTGGGTATATAAGATGGGAGAGCAATGGGTCAATTATAAAAGAAAGGAGACACTAAAATAAAAAATATCATAAAACATTGGGTAGGTAGGTTAAAAGCATAGATACATTTAGGGAGGTACTCAAAAAATAGTACTCATAGCGAAATGTGGGGAGTTGGGGTGGGGTAGGGGTGGAAGGTCAAAATAAAAGCATACATACTTAATGGACAACCCCTTATGTCATTTATCCTTAGCTCGTTTTCTCGACAATTCTTATTATAAAAAATTGAAAAAAATTATCTAGAATGTTTTTACTAAAAAGTTAGATTAGAGTTATAGAGCAAGGAATCAGTTGTCAGAAGAATTAAAAAGTTTAGGATTGGATGAGGACAGATACAGAATGAGACTTTGCTAAATGACAAGTTAAGAGATGATAGCTCCCTTGAAAAGCAACCATGATAATATTAGCAGAAAAGAGAAAGATGAAACACTATGCTTTAGCTACTATATATTAATTTATGTCAATTAAATCAAGTGTTTAAAAAAATGTTTTTTAAATTTAGAACTATTTCCTATTATTACAATATATTTTTAAAAAGAAATATTTAGCATAAATAACAATTATTTAATATCAGGTTTTAAGAATCTAGGGCGTTAATGTATTGGTGTCAGAATCAATATGTTGAAACCAGAAAAGTTTAAGTTACCTTGACAAAATGGCTGTGTAAAACCTTCTAAAGGACAATCACATCTGAATGACAGTGATTGATCAATACATGTATAATTATTTAAACTAAAAAAAAAAACAAGAAGTTAATTGTAATATATTATAATATATTATAAATGCAATAATATTTAGTTAATAAAGTTTTATTGCTAAAAATAAAACACAAAAAAAAAAAAATATAAAAAAAAAAATTGTTAGAGTGTAATTAATAGATAATTTATTAGTTACAAAAAATTTAATAGATAATTTATTAGTTAAAAAAAAATTAATAAGTAATTTATTAGTGAAAAAAAAATTAATAGATTATTAGTTAAAAAAAAATTGGAGGTTGTAATAAATCATTTGTGAATTGGAAAAACAAAATGGAAAAACAAAAGAAAAGTGTAAATACTTTAATTACCATAAAAATGATTAAAAAAAAATGCATTTTGGCAAAATTAAAACTAAAATATAATATACCAAACTACGTTAATACAATCATCAATTTCTAAAAAGTAAAAATAATGCTATAAGAAAATCAATAAAACTTTAAATTTAAGAAAAACTTATAAATTTAAAACAAAATTTAAAAAATTTTTTCTATATATTTTCTTAGCAATTATGATAAAAAACTAACCTGATTTACAATCAAACCCAGTTTTTCCAGGAGGACATAAACATGTGTAGTTTCCATAGAGATTCAAACAAGTTGATCCTCCCTCACATTTATTTGTGTCACACTCATTAATGTCTGATTTGAAACAAAAAAGTTTTTTTATCAAATTTGAAACACCATAATGTACACTAATTTAACTTTATAAAATACATTTTTATTATACTTGTATAGATAACTCATTAAACTATTAAAAATATGTTATTAAAATATGTTAAAATACATTTATATTAACATCATTAATATTTGAAACATTGATAATTGTTAAAACAATTCTAAAAAGTAAAAAATATTATACACTGAATATATATATATATATATATATATATATATATATATATATATATATATATATATATATATATATACAGAAAAAAATACAAAAAATTAACAATTCTATTTGTGTTAATAAGCCACTTTTGTTTGCAAAGATATATAACTTTATGAGAAATATATAATTTCACGGAGGTAATCAACTGTCATATGGTGGTAGCCCTCCTATCAAAAAATTTAAAGTGGCATTATTAATAACAAAGCAATATGGTTAATAAAATTGATGCCAATGGTTATTCGGCTGTTAAAAACAGAACGCAATCAATTGCCCACCTTGATATCTGGATAATGGAGCTCATGAACATCATTTCAGAACAGAAAGTAACTATCTACTTGCAAGCCAACCAAATCAGAAAACTTGAACAAAAAGTAGCAGTCTCTCAATTAGTCGTCCAATTATGTTCAAACAAGCCTTCCTGGAGTAGTATAGTCAGAAACAAGCCAAATACATTGCCACAAATTGGTTATGCTCTAGTGGAACTAAAAAAAGCAGCTAAGCGTGAGAAAAATATAATAATATTTAGTGTCCCTGAACCAGCCAATGCAGCAGACATTGCCTAAGCACTGCTAGAAATGTTACACTGCATCACAGTGTAACATTTCTCTTCAAAATTATGAAATAGCCGGCCTACTATGATAGAATTTGAGAAGCTTGTCAAAATAAAAATAGCTCTTATAAACTTTTGAAAACTTGCTACACATGAAACCTTCAATAAATACTCAGTCAGTTCTGACTTGTTACCAGCTGAAAGAGAACTTGAGTTGCAACTATGCAAAGACACAACAATTGTAATGATGAACTTTGAATTAATAACCCTGATGTGCATTTTCACTGGGGTATCTGTAATGAAACAATTGTCAAGATCCGTGGTATCCTTACTCCTTGCTCCATATCAACCAATTAGCAATTTCGGCAAGAAGTGGGGCTTGCCAATAAAAGATAAATCACTCCTTCTATCTCTAAGACATTAGCAAACCAATTGAAGGATCATTTCCAAAATGTTTGGAGCAATAAAAAACAACCTAATCTCTTGTTCTTTATCAACCATCAAGCAGACCTACCTATTATCCTCATTTTTACGATTATTAACATACTCAACCAAAACAGCAAAGTAAAAATAGGATCATCAGGACCTGATGATCTCTCCCAATTTTACTTGAATCTGCTTGCTTAGAAATTGCCCTATCACTCAATATCATGTTTAACCGTCACATAGAAAACAGTTACTTCCCTGATCAATAGAAATCAGCAAACATAACATCAATTCCTAAAATCTCAAACCCGCCATATTCAAATGGCTATCGGCCAATTGCTAAAATGTCTGCGTTATGCAAAGTTTTTGAATATATTGTCACCAAATTCATCGTCCGTCACACCAAGCAGATCTGGGTCTCAAACAAACAGGTCAGTTTCCTTCCAGGCGGTAGTACAATGGACGCTATTATTTAAGTTATAGAAGATTGGAGTCATGCTAAAGAAAATAATAAATTAATTTGCAAATTGCAATTGCAATATTTTTCAATTTTTCAAAAGCATTTGATCTTGTTGATCATTAGAAGTTGTTACTAAAGTTGGTGAATATTCTACTTAACTGGCAAACATCTTGGATTGCAGCTTACTTAGCTTATAGTGGCCAAAGAGTAATCACACCCCTGAATGGAAATATATACAAGCCGGAGTACTTCAGGGTAGTGTTCTCAGCCCAATCTTGTTTGTTTTCTTTATTTCTGATGTAAATATCTCCTTCCTACCAAAAACCATTCTCGAAAAATATGCTGACGAAATCCTGACCTACAATATCTATGATAAAGTTCCTGCCAATTTACCTCAATACATTGCTGATGGCGTTGCACATTGGTCTGTGGCCGATGGAATGAAACTCAACACCTCAAAATATAAAGTCATTAAAATCAATGCCTGGTGCTCCAAAACTCATGCTCTACTATCTCCCATACTCAATAAAACTGAACTTGAAATTGTATACAACTATAAATTCTTTAGAATCCTGCTCAATGAGAATCTTGATTGGGATGAACAATGGATAAAAGGGCACAACAGTATAAAATCAGTGCCATTTCTACTCAAGCGCATTAAGTAAATCGGACACACTCATCTCCTACAATCTGGCCCCAAAAAAAGAGATACAACATTTCCACAAAAAACGCCTTACACTTCATCGAAATTGATGCAACCAACTTGAGCTGTCTCGATATTTTTTTTGAAATTGAAGAATTACTTGACAAAACCTGTATTAATATCTTTTAAAAGATTCTTGCAGACACAAACCATCCGATAACCACTAAATTACCTTGCATCAATAGAAGCTCTTAATACCGTACTCACTATAATCTATCAGCAATCTTTTATTCAAAAATACCTACCCATTTTTTGTGATGGTGTCAGTGACCCCTACCTCCCATAAAATGATCAGTTCTTTTTCCTGCGTTAATAGCTAACTTTTACTTATTATTTAACAATAGATAAAATTGTACAATTCATTATTTGTAATGCTAATCTATTTTAAATTAAAAAATATATACATATATATATATATATATATATATATATATATATATATATATATATATATATATATATATATATATATATATATAATATATATATATATATATATATATATATATATATATATATATATATATATATATATATATGTATGTATATATATATATATATATATACATATATATATATATATATATATATATATATATATATATATAAATATATATATATATATATATATATATATATATATATATATATATATATATATATATATATATATATATATATATATATATATATATATATATATATATATATATATATATATATATATATACTAGGGCTGTCCAAAAAAATTTTTTTTTTCAGATTTGATTGCATAGTTGTTTATTTTGTGCCATTTGAAATATTAATTAACTGTGCAAAAAATCTTTCCGATCAGATAATGTTTAGGGGGTGCTCAATGACCATAAAGTTTTACGAAAAATGTGAAAAACATGGAAAAAGTAACAAAGTTCCACAAATTTCTAAAACCTGGTTAATTAGATTTTTCAGATTTGATCAGTTTTAATTATCTCTAAATATTAAATTCTGAATACAAATTACAATCCACATCCACTTTACACTGGTTTATTAGCAGAGAAATTAATGAAATAAAATACTGCAATACGACTAAAGTTCTGCGGTTTTTGTTATATCAGAATTTTTCCAAAATAAAACACTAAGATTTTTGACTTTTTGTCATTGATTAAAATACGAATTATAAACAAAAAAAATTATTGTAAAGGAGTAACAGTTTCTCAAACCGTTATCAACTACTAAGTAGGTCAACTCAAAAACATATGAGCAATTAACATTTAATTATCGTAATGTTATAGTTCGTGCAATGTTAATGCTAGCGAGGACTATAACTCTTCAGAGTACACTTTCTGGCATCTGGCACTCGCTTTCTGTGATCCTCAACCACCTGAATTAACATCTGCATTTCAGATTCATTCCTTGTAATCGATTCATTAAACATCGACATTAAAGCCACAGATCGTTCGGCAGCATCATTTACTACTTTCAATGAAAATACTAAATTTTTTCCTTCTTGGTATTCTGGGGAATCATTCCAGGTAGCTGGATCGTTGTTGAACAGAAAATCAATATCAACCTTCATTGACCGCAACGCACTTGCTGAAACTGATGTCACCAGCATGTCCAGAGATTTCTTCTCTAGACTTTCAATGTTCTTTAATTTGATCAACCTTTCAGACCAGTTCTCACCGTGAAATTTCATGTTGGAAATCATTTTTCGCTTCTTTTCCGTTTTAAGTTTGTTTGAAAACAAAGCTAGTGGGACCAATTCTGGTGAAAGGTACCACAAATGGTTTTGAAATTTCTTGACTGCTGCTTCGGAAATCGTTTTATTTACAACTGCAAACTGCTTAAGTTGCTGAAACAGAAACAAGTCATTAACTGGAGCATCGCTGGCATTTGGGCATGATATCCAAGATTTTACATAAACCAGACTAGCAAATAAGCAAAATTCACAGAGATTTTTTTCCTCTTTTGTGGTCAACTTGAACTCTTCACGAAATAAATAAATCTTAAAACAATAAATAACCTTGGCCATCCAGCGAGCCATGTGATAAGCACCAGGGATCTTGAAATGATAATTTTTCTCTTCTTGATCAGGCAGTTTTCCAAGTATTAACAGACAGAGATCCATGATTTCTTTGTAGTCATCCCTTGGCATTTTAACTTGCAGGTTTTCTTTGAGGAATGCCATCACTTCATTTTGTAGTTCTTGCACCAGGGGTATTTTCATTTGAATGTCATCCAGAGGTTTAAAATTTCCTTGATTAACTTTGGGCCAATATTGCTGAAATCTCTGGAAAAGAGGTATGTTGGGACCAGATGATGGTCCAAATAGTGATCCAAACACTCCTGCTACTATGATCTCATGAACATGGTGTCTGCAAGCAAAATATAACAAATTTCTATCTATATGTTTCTCTAGAACTACACATGCACCATTTTCGGAGCCAGTGTTAGAGGCTGTAGTATCAAAACTCATTCCAATAACATCACCAATTATGTCCCAGAAATTAAGCAGATGAATAACTGCTTTTGCTTGGGCTTCTCCAGTTCCAGCTGATAGTTTTGCTATTCCAAGTATTTTGTCAACATTGTGACCTGTCACACCTACAGATAGCCGGTCAACATTTGC